TAGTAAGTGTATATTTGCATAATGTGTTAGTTGTTTATGTGTGTTAGTTAGTGTTAATGTGTGTTAATATTTGCATAATAAATAGCTGCATCTGAAACTTACCTGGGAACTGAAGGTGCATCGCAGTTGAGTCACGAAGTGGATTCTAAAATGAGTGAAGATAATGATGACATGCACAATGCGACAAGTATGTGTAATGAAACTGATATGAAATAAATATATAATGTACATTGTAATTATATCAGTATATATACGTATATGATATAATGTACATTATAATGTACATAGTAATGTAATAAATTATCATATTTATTAGTAACAGGTATAACCGAAGACTCCCAAGGATCTATATTAAATTCTAACAATGAAAACACGTTAAATAAACAAAATGTTACGAAATATTTACGTTTAACGTTTGATCGGTGTAACTGCACTACATCGCAAAAACTGGAGAAGCTGCAGAGAAAAAGTGAACGATTAAGGGCTAACATGACAAGAAAGTTTGTAACTCTGAAGAAGGATTTGAAACGCTTAAAAAAAGAGGTGCATTTTAATAAGATTCAAAAATTTGCTTCAAAAATTTTTGATGAAAGTCAAGTAAAATTGCTTCGTGAGGAATATAAAAAAATGCCGCGTTGGTGTGAAAAAACTCTAGTAAAGGCTTATTCGCTTAAGTTTGCATGTGGCACGACGGGATATAACGAACTGATACGCCAACATTTTCCTTTACCAAATGTTAGAACTTTAAGTAGAAAATTGGAAAATTTAAAATTTAATAGTGGGATAAGTGAGGAAATTTTCCAATTTTTAAAAATTAAAGTTTCTCAATTTGAAAAACAAACAGATAAAAACTGTGTATTAGTGCTAGATGAAATGTCCATTACTCCAGGAAAATTTTACGATCATAGTTCCGGTACTTTGTATGGATATGTCACTATACCAGGAGAGGAACAAAAAAGTTTTGCAACTCATGCATTGTGTTTCATGTTAGCTGGATTGGCTAGCAGATGGAAGCAAACAGTGGCATATTATTTAACAGCAACAACGACTTTAGGAGCTATTTTGAAATCAATAGTAACCGAAATTATTTCAAAGGCGGAAAATATTGGCTTATCAGTTCAAGCTGTTATTTCGGATATGGGTACTAACAATCAGTCTATGTGGAAAAAATTCAGCATAAAAGCATCGCGGATAGAGATGAATTATTATTGCAAACATGTTTGTAATACAAATCGCAAGTTGTACTTTTGTTCGGATGTTCCGCATGCATTCAAAAATATTGTTCGCGGACTTCTACTTAATAAAGTATTCAAAATACCGCAATACTTCGTTGACAAGTATAACTTGCCAACCTGTGATGTTAGGGCTTCGTATTTGTTTGATGTAATAGAAGAAGATGAAAACTGTGATTTGAAATTAGCTCTAAAAATTAAGAAAGACTCTGTAGAGGGAAATAAGTATCATTTTCAAAAAATGAAAGTATCTAACGCTATGGGCATTATGAGTCATCAAGTTAGCACAGCATTGCGATTTTTATGTAATGAAAATCCAAAAGATGAACGTCAAAGTACCGCATGGTTTGTTTCAGTTGTACGGCAATGGTTTGATTTAATGGCAAACCGAAAGTTATCACTGGCTTTAAGTAAATTAAAAGTTGAAAAATTCAAAGAAACTATAGATTTTCTTAATAAAATAATAGTACTATTTAGAGACTTAGCTGTAGGAGATAAGGGTCATTGGAAAGCCATTCCAAAGTGCTGTAATTTTATCAACCACGACTGTAATTGACTTATCGCAATATTTTATAGATAATTGTGGCTTTCAATTTCTTTTAACATCGCGTCTTACTCAAGACTGCATAGAAAATTTATTTTCTGCTATTAGGAGAAAAAACGTAATTCCAAATGCTGTTCAATTTAAAAATAATTTAAAATTAATTAGTATTTCTCAATACATGAAAAATGTTAGCAATAGTAATTATCAAGAAGATAACCGAGAGTATCTTTCAGAATTTTTAAATGTACTTCAAAACCGTCCTTCAAGTACACACGATGACACAAATTGATCAGTAATTAACGCAGAGATTTACAAGTATTTGGAAACACACCGCGGTGTTACTTTAATCAATACGGACATAAATAAATTACACTATGTAGCTGGTTATTTAATAATGAATATCTTCAAAAACGAAAATGCTTGCAAAGCATGTATATTTGCAACAGGAAGTAAAAATGTAAATTTTTATTACTACAGTACATTAACGCGTATTAGAGCTCGTCAAAGTAACACTTAATTTTGTATTAATACACCAACATTACGTTTTTTTCATTCAATTGGAGACAAAGTTTCGAATATTTTACGAATATATGAGTAATCACAAAGAAAGCGGCAATTTAAAGAAACATTATATGGAAATCTAAATATATTGTTACGTCCGGTTTTCCGCTCTCCTCTGTCGTCGGAGGGGAAATCGACCGTGTTAAGTCAGGCGGACTCCTGTCGGGCCGCCGACAGGCCGCATGAGAAGGCGGCTAAGCGACGTGATATTATCACGTCCGGTGGTCCATGGTTCGAATCCACCGGGAGTAGAATGCCCG